ACAGTTGAGCGACCGTGCTAGAACCACGGAACTCGGGAATGCCTAACACATTCTCCCGGGTTAACAGAATTCCTTATCCGGATTTCTGGTTCGCGGACTGTAATACAGAGTCATTCTTTTCCTCGATTCGGGATTAAATTGGTGACTTGGGACACCCTAAATCTCCCAAGTGGCGACTCTGAAATAAACAAACAAATCCCATTTCGATTGTCCTTTAATTGGAAAAACTCCTTCACCCCTCGCGGGGGCGGAAAAAGGAGGTTTGACAGTGAGGCCATCAACAAACTTCCTAATCCTCTCTCTATCTGTCAGAACCATTCAAATAGCATGACGAGCTAACTCGGAGAACCTCATCTTGTATTGTGTCACAGTCATCTCTCCCTAATGCAACCACTCAAACTCCCTACGCAGCTCCTCTATGTGGGACTGCAGCACATACTTCTCTAAGAAGAGAACTGAGAACTGCTGCCAGGTAAGGGGTGCTATAACAACAGGCCTACGCCTCTCAAAAGCCTCCCATCAAGTGAAGGCAGCTCTAGAAAACTAATAAGTAGTGAAAGCGACCCCGCTAGTCTAGAATACCCGCCGTACGAGCATCCTCTGGCACTTGTCCAAAAAGCCCCGGGCATCCTCTCCCTCTGCACCATTGAAGGTCGGAGGCTGGAGTCTACCAAACCTCTCCAACCTGCGCTGCTCATCCTCCGGCATGGCAGTAACTACATAGTCCTGAGCAGCTGCAACCGGCTAGGCTGGGTGTGCCCCTGGCGTCTGAAGTCCCTACACGACCTACTTAGGTGTGCAAGTGGCAGGAGTCTGATTGCCTCCACTGGCTTGAGAAGAAGTTGCAGCTGTAGTGGCTGAAATTGCCTGAGCTAGGCCAGTGCAAACTGATAAGATCTTAGCCAAGGCCTCCTGAAGACCCAGAATCATAATGGGCACAGCTAGTGCCTGAGATGGTGCTGCTGGAGCATCCATAACTGGGACCTGATCCTGAACTAGGGCAACTGGTGGATCTACAGGTGCTGCCCTAGCTGCTCTGCCCCTACCACGACCGCGTCCTCGGCCTCTGGTGGCCATAGCTGGTGGTAGTGGTGGTCGTCCATCCTGACCAGTAGCACATGTCCTCACCATTTGTGAGAGAATAGAATAACAAAAGTTTAGTAGTTGGATCAACAAATTCGTACGACAAGAATTTCAAGAATATGAAGTTTTTCCTAAAGGTTTTGCAATCTCTTGAGGATAAATACAGAAGTCTTTGTACCGATCCGCGAAACTCTACTAAACCTGCTCATGACTCATGAGACCTATGTAACCTAGGCTCTGATACCAACTTGTCACGCCCCAAACCCGGACCCGGTCGTGATGGCGCCTCTGGTAAAGATAAGGCCAGCCGACACTTCTCATTTTGTATTTTTTAAAACCATTTAACACAAGATTTAAAGTATAAACCATGACAAAATATAAAACATAATCAACAAACCAAGGTTTAAGCAGTTAATAGTATAAATCGCGAAAGAAATAACCCAACACAGCCCGATACCAGGGTATCACTAGTCATGAGCATCTAAAAAACCTAATACAAGTCTAAAAAGTCTACTAACTATTACAAATGTCTAATAAGAGATAGAAATGATAAAGAGGGAGAAACACGGGACTACGGACGTCAAACAGCTACCTCGTGGACTCTGATATCTGTTGGGAGCTCTCAAATCGCACTGGCAGTATCCGCAATGCCTGAATCTGCACACGGGATGTAGGGAGTAATGTGAGTACTCCAACTCAATGAGTAACAAATGTAAATAAATACTGAAAGCAAGAAAACACATAAAGCACAAAGCATTCTATAATGAAGCAGTAAAACCATTTACAAATCAGTAATAGGCAAAAATCCTTTATATCAAATTTACTTCCTGAAAAGCCTTTTTCAACAATTAAGCAGGTAATTGATAGTCAATTATGAAAAATAACACATAAAGGTTCGCCCCTCGGGCACAGTATCAATAAATCCGCCACTCAGGCAATATCTCAGAATAGTACCAGCCCCTCGGGCTCAATCTCATATCACAATAGGTATCTGCGCTCACTGGGGGTATACAGACTCCTGGAGGGTCCCCTTACGTCCCAAGTGCAATATCAAGCCACCTCGTGGCATCATCACTAGGCCCTCGGCCTTATATCAATCAAGCCACCTCGTGGCGTACATATCTCAGGCCCTCAGCCTCATAATCAGTATCAAATATTTCCTCACAATATAGGCCCTCGGCCTTACTTTGTCAAAAATCCTCACAAGCCACTCGGGCAATAGTAAAACATGTTTTTCAGCCCAAATATCATTTAAAAGATCATTTAAGTGTCAAAATAGAGTAAACATGGCTGAGTACAAAAACAGTGAAATATAACATGACTGAGTTTAAGTATAAAGTCAAAACAGTGAGGCAATACCAGTAAAAATCCCCGAAGGGTTCAAATAGTTGGCACAAGCCCAAATATGGCATTCAACCCAAATCATGATGATGGCAAATAGATTTCAGTCAAATACGCGGTAAAATAGTCATTCGGGACGGACTAAGTAACAATCCCCAACAGTGCACAACCCCACACTCGTCATCCAGCATGTCGTCACCTCAATATAGCACCGCGATGTGCAAGTCCGGGGTTTCATAACCTCAGAACATCATTTACAATCACACCTCGAACCGGTCAAATATCTAGCTCGCGACGCCTTTGCCCCTCGAATTGGCCTCCACTCACATCGAATCTATCCAAAATCAGAACGAGGATGTCAAAATATGCCAAGGGAACGACGCCTATGTGAGAATAATCAATTTACAACATAAATCCCGAAATTACCAAAACCCGACCCCCGGGCCCACGTCTCGAAATTCGATAATTTTTACATCAATAGATTCCTTATCTCCCCACGTATTCATACATATCAAAAGTTCTGAAATCCGACTTCAAATGATCCTTCAAATCCTCAATCAAATGTCTAAATTTTCAACCCCTGGTTTTTCAATATTTGGCTTAATTTCCATGATTATTTAGGTGGAATTCACATTAGAATCGAGTTTTAAGTCCGAGAATCTTACCTCCAAGTGATTCCTCTTGAATACCTCTTCAATCCCCTTCAAAAAGTTCCAAAAACGACCAACAATGGAGGAAATAAACCCCAAAATCGCGGACAAGACGAGTATTTCAACATTCTGCCCAGGCCTTAATTCCTTCTTCGCGAACGCGGTCAACACCTTGCATTTGCGAAGCACAAAAATTCTATTGACCAAAACTCTTCTTCGCGAACCCGACCTCACCATCGTGAACGCGATGCCTCAGCTTCACCAACCTACGCGAACATGACCAAGCCTCTCGCGAACGCGATGCATACCATTCCGTCCCTTCGCGACCGCGGGACTCCCCTTCGTGAATGCGAAGGCCAAACCTGATGCCTCCCTTCCTGACCCTTCGCGAATGCGAGGGTCCACTCGCGAACGCGAAGACCAAAATGTCTGCAATAGCTGAAACCAAAATCTGCAATTTTCTTAACTTAAAAATGATCCATTCAACCCCTCGAAACTCATCCGAGTCCCCCGGGACCTCAACCAAAGGCACCAACATATCCTAAAACCTTATTCAAACTTTTACAAATCTTCAAAATACCTCAAACAACATCAAATCAACCAAAACACATTGGATTCAAGCCTAAGTTTCCAAAATCTTCTAAATTAGGTTTTTGATAAAAACAAATCCCAACCAAATCACGTCCGAATGACCTGAAAATTTGCGCACACATCCCAAATGACACAGGGAACTACTTCAACTCTCAGAATTCCATTCCGACCCCTATATCAAAATCTTGCCTACCAACCGGAAATCGCCAAAATATCAACTTCGCCAATTCAAGCCTAAATCTACACTGAACCTCCAAAACACATTCTGATCATGCTCCCAAGACCCAAATCACCTTCTGAAGCTAACCGAACCATCGGAACTCACATCCGAGCCCTCTAACACATAAGTCAACATCCAGTTGACTTTTCCAACTTAAGCTTCTCAAAAGAGACTAAGTGTCTCAAACCTTACCAAATTCATTCCGGATTCAATCCGACTAACCCGATATCACATAACACGGATAAACAAAGCATAAAGAAGCAGAAATGGGAAAAATGGAGCGGTAACTCATGAGATGACTGGCCGAGTCGTCATAGTGTGCTATTGAAGAGTCTAAAGATTTAGACTCTATGACGGTGGAGCAATTGGAGGGTTCTTTACAAGCTCATGAAGAAAAGATCAAGAGGAGACAAGAAGTGCCATTAGAGCAACTTCTTAAAACTCAGGCATCCTTTAAGGATTATAGAGGTGAAAAAAGCTATCGAGGGTATGGACGAGGACGAGGCCATGGCAATCATAGAAGAGGAAGAAGTACTGGTAACAACTTCAACAATGAAGTTAAAATCTACCAAACATTCAGAGGTCGTGGTCATGGACGAAGAGGAGGAAGAGGACGTGGCAGCTACCAAGAAAATAATGGATAAAGGTATGACAAATCAAAAAGTGAGTGTTATAATTGTCATAAATTTGGCCATTACACTTGGGAATGTCATAGAAATGTTGAAGAAAAAGCTAACTCCGTTGACGATAAGAAAGAAGAAGATGAGTCAACATTGTTGCTGGCACTGAAGGAAGAAGATAGGGATGATTGTAGCTCGTGGTATTTGGACAATGGAGCAAGAAATCATATATGTGGATGCAAAGAGAAGTTTATGGAAATCAATAAAACGGTGAGAGGTAATGTGTCCCTTGGAGATATCTTAAAGATTTAAATCGAAGGGATAGGTACGATTATGATGTCCTGGAAAGATGGTAGTCACAAGCTAATTCAAGATGTTTATTATGTGCCAAAATTAAAATGTAATATTTTTAGTTTGGGCCAACTTCTTGAAAAGGAATATGACATCCACATGAAAAATATGCATATTTGGCTTAGAGATTGAAGTGGAACTCTAATTGCTAAAGTGCATATGGCAAAGAATAAATTATTTCCTCTGAATCTTAAGACAATTGATGCAAAGTGTTTGAAGGCTAATGTGCAAGATGAATCATGGTGTTGGCACATGCGATTTGGGCACTTGAATTTTGAAGCACTCAAATAAATGGGAGAAAAGAACATGGTGCATGGGATACCATCAATCAACCATCCAAATCAATTATGTGAAGCTTGTCTTCTTGGAATACATACAAGGAGGAGTTTTCCAAAGGAGACCATATCAAGATCAACCAAACCGCTCCAGCTTGTTCACACTGATGTATGTGGACTAATCAATCCACCTTTCTTTGGTAAAAGTAAATACTTTCTACTTTTCATTGATGACCTTAGCAGAAAGACTTGAGTTTATTTCTTGAACAAAAAATCTAAAGCTTTTGCTGCTTTTAAAATTTTCAAAGTACTTGTGGAAAAAGAAAGTGGCTATGAAATAAAAGTTTTAAGGTCCGATAGAGGAGGCAAATTCACTTCAAAAGAATTTATTGACTTTTGTCAATCTAATGGAATTCGTCGCCCTCTAACAGCACCTTATTCACCCCAACAAAATGGAGTTGCATAGAGAAAGAATCAAGCAATTCTTAATATGGCTGGATGTATGTTGAAAGCTAAAAGTATGCCCAAGGAATTTTGGACCGAATCTATTTCTTGTGCAGTTTATTTGAACAACAGCTCTTTAACAAGAAATGTTAGAGATCAAACTCCTCAAGAAGCATGGAGTGGAAGAAACCCAAGTGTCAAACACTTGATAATCTTTGGGAGCATAGACTATGCTCATGTGCCACAACAAGGGAGAGCGAAGCTTGACGATTTAAGTGTCAAACATGTGTTTGTTGGCTATGATAAGAGTTCAAAAGGCTACAAGTTATGCAACCCAAGTAGCGAAGGTGGTGGTAAGTCGCAATGTTGAATTTGATGAAGAATTGACATGGAACTAGGAAGCTCAAAAGAAACTTCATATGATTTTCTTCCATACTTTGGTGATGAAGAAGAACCAGAGACCATGAAACCTATGCAGGACACAACTCCACCTCCTTCTCCAACAAATGTTGCATCTCCCTCTTCTCAAGAAAGTTCAAATGAACAACCGCAAAGGACAATAAGTATTCAAGAGCTCTATGAGGACACTGAAGAAGTTACTAATTTTTATTTTGTATATTGTCTCTTTGCTGATAGTGAACCAATGAACTCTGATGAAGTTGTTACAGACAAAAAGGTGGATACATGCCATGAAGGAGGAATCCATTCAATAGAGAAGAACAACATTGGGAGTTAACAACTCTTCCTAAAGGTTATCGAGCAATTGGAGTGAAATGGGAATATTAGACAAAGAAAAATGTTGATGGAGATGTGGAGAGATACAAGGAACGACTTGTAGCTAAAGGCTACAAGCAAAGACAAGGCATTGACAATGAAAAAGTCTATGCACCTGTTTCCCGCATGGAGATAATTCGTTTACTGATCTTTTAGGCGGCGCAAATAAAGTGGAAAATCCATCAACTAGATAACAAGTCAGCCTTCTTGAATAGCTATCTTGAAGAAGAAGTCTATGTCAAACAACCATTGGGCTTCGTGGTCAAAAACCATGAAGATAAAGTGTTGCGATTTAAGAAAGCTTTATATAGATTAAAGCAAGCCCCACGAGTATGGAATTGTTGCATCGACAAATATTTTCAAGCCAATAGGTTTACTCGTTGTCTCCATGAATATGATCTTTACCTTAAAGTTCATACTAATGGAGATATCTTACTTGTTTATCTTTATATTGATGATCTTATTTTCACGGGCAATAACCCAAGTTTGTTTGAAGCTTTTAAGAAAGATATGTCCCGTGAGTTCGAGATGACAGACGTGTGGCTCATGTCATATTACCTGGGCCTAGAAGTAAAGCAGATGGAGGATGAATTTTTATCTCTCAAGAAAGCTATACAAAAGAGATATTGAAGAAGTTCAACATGCTCGATTGCAACCACGTAAAAACACCGATGGAAAGTGGGACAAAATTGTCCAAGTTTGATGAAGAAGAAAAAGTAGATCCCACATTTTTCAAAAGTCTTGTGAGAAGTTTGAGGTACTTGACATGTACCAGGCCAGATATACTCTTTGAAGTTGGAGTAGTAATTCGCTTCATGGAAGCTCCTACCTCCACTCATTTGAAAGTCACTAGAAGAATTTTTCGTTACCTAAAAGGTATGATTGACTTTGGGTTATTTTATTCTTCTAATGATTTCACTCTTATGGGATATTGTGATAGTGATTATGCGGGAGATATTGATGATAGAAAAAACACAACTCGTTTTGTGTTTTTCTTGGGTGATTATGTTATTTCTTCGAGTTCAAAGAAACAATCAATTGTTACTCTCTCGACTTGTGAAGCTGAATATATAGCAGCAACATCTTGTATGTGTCATGCTATTTGGTTGAGAAGATTGTTGAAGGAGCTCAATTTATCACAAATTGAAGCTACAGAGATTTGTATTGACAACAAATCCGTACAGGCACTCGCAAAGAATCCGGTGTATCATGACCAAAGCAAGCATATAGACATAAGGTATCACTTCATTAGAGAATGCATTGCCAAGAAGGAAATTAAGCTCAAGTATGTAAAATCGCATGATCAAATTACAAATATCTTTATAAAGCCTCTCAAATTTGAAGATTTTCAGAGATTGAGATCAAGTCTTGGAATGAAGAAGAAAAATCAAATTAAGGGGGAAATTTATGAGGCCCATCTAAATAAAAGAAACAAAAAGAAAAAAAAATGTGACTGGATGAAGAAGAGGCAAAGGTGGGCGCCTACATTTCATATGCAATTTGCAAATCCAATTTGCAATTGCAAGTTGTCACAGCATGTTGTGATTGGCTAGAAACAAGGAAACTTTTCCTATAAATAGCATGATCATTTCTTATTTGAGATACACCAAAAATTAGAGAGCGCAATAGATCATAGAGAGAGAGTAATTCACAAATTATAGTCTATGATATAAGTAGAGAGTGAGAGTAATATTATAGTGAGGTATTTAAAATAAAGAGTGTTATTTCTTTTGAAGTTGTAGCGATCTCTTGACACTACCAAGTTGTAATAATATAGTGGTAATATTACTCTACTCGGGTATTGTATTTTACCCTGTTAAAAAATTTGGTATCTTTGTTACTCTCTTGTATAATTGTTATTTATCGTGGATATTATTTCTGAGCGGGATATTATATTTTTGCCGACAATACCTTCTTAAGAAAGAATACCTCGAGGAGTGGCCCATCGATAAAAAATGCAAACTTATTTGAAAAACAGAAATAATAATGAGCCTCCCCCGAGCACTCTCATGCAAATCAATGTCATTTTAGGTGGGTCAGAAGTCAGTGGGATCACAAAATATGCCAAAGTGTCAAACACGAATGAAAAATGAATCCATAAAACACTAAACGGGAATAATATTACCTTTGACGACGATGATACAAATAGCTTGATGTTTTCACACCATGATGCACTGGTAATTAAACTATGCATTTTAGATTCAGATGTTAAATATATTTTAATTGATGTAGGTAGAACCGTGAATATCATTCAATTAAAGGTCACAGAGGAAATGCAGCTGACGGATAAGATCAACCAAAATTCACGTGTACTTTTCAAGTTCAACAACTCCAACGAATCAATAATTAGGAAAAAATCACCACACCTATTTTTGCAGAAGGTGTTACTAAAGATACCCTATTCAAGGTACATGATCTATAATATAATCATGAGAAGACCATGAATGGAACCATTACCTTCTACAGTGTACCAAGTATATTGAAGTTCCCTTCTAAGTGGAGAATCTGAGAAATTAAAGGAGAGCAAAGGATAGTATGAGAATGCTACGGTTGCTCTCGTGAAAAGGTCACACCAAAAGTGGGGATGAGTAGCAATCAAAATAGCAGGGGTTATCCAGCAGCCCAGGACAGATCTACCAGAAGAAAGGCCGAACAAAGACATACAGAGTGTATTATCCCAAGAAGAGAACGTTCCCAAGTCAACTATAGAATAATTGAATACAGTCATCCTTTTTGCTGATTTTTTAGAGAGTAAGGTCAGCATGGATTTGGTACTTGACCCCGAACTCAAAGTTAAACTTATTTTATTCTTACGATCTAATGCATACTGCTTTTCCCGATCCCAAGATGACATGACAAGTATTTCTTTGGAAATGATGAGTTACAAAATCAACAAAGACCGGCAGTATCTGTTGGAAAAATAATATCTCGCTCAGGAATAATATTCACGATAAATAACAATAACACAAGAAAATAACAAAGACATTAAATCTTTTAACGAGACAAAATATAATACCCGAGTGGAGCAATATTATCATAATAATATTACAACTTATTAGTGTCAAGAGAATACTATAGCTTCAAAGAAATATCACTCTTTATTTTAAATACCTCACAATAATATTATATATACTCACTATTTATCTCAGAGACTACGATCAGTGAATTACTCTCTTTAACTTCTGTTACTTCCTCTCTACTTTTTGTTGTGTTTACAATTGAGAGAATGCCTCCTCTTATAGGGCAAAAGAGTCGGTGGGCTCAAAATATTCTACACGGGCAATTTGATGCTCCTCCACATCTTTCCAAACTTGATCACCAAGTATTATTATATAGGCACATGTCTATATAGATGGGATGAACCCCACAATCTCTCCCTTAATTTTGATTTTTCTTTTTCATTCCAAGTTTTGATCTCAATCTCTTAAAAATTTTAAACTTGAGAGGCTTTGTAAAGATATCCGCAGCTTGATCATGAGACTTCACATATTTAAGCTTCACTTCCTTCTTGACAATGCATTCTCTGATAAAGTGATACCTTGTATCTATATGCTTGCTTCGATCATGATACACTGGATTCTTTGCGAGTGCTTGTGTGGATTTGTTGTCAATACAAATCTCCTTAGCTTCAATCTGTTCTAAATTGAGCTCCTTCAATAATCTTCTCAGTCAAATAGCATGACATGTATAGGATGTTGCTGCTACATATTCAGCTTCACAAGCCGAGAGAGTAACAATCGATTGTTTCTTTGAACTCCAAGAAATAATAGAATCACTCAAGAAAAACACAAAATCAATTGTGCTTTTTCTATCATCAATATCTCCCGCATAATCACTATCACAAAATCTCACAAGGTTGAAATCACTAGAAAAAAAGTAAAATAGCCCACAATCAATCATACTTTTTAGGTAACGAAGAATCCTTCTAGCGACTTTCAAGTGAGTGGAGTTAGGAGCTTCCATGAAGCGACTTACTACTCCAACTGCAAAGAGTATATCTGGCCTAGTACAAGTCAAGCACCTTAAACTTCCCACAAGGCTTTTGAAAAATGTGGGATCCACTTTTTCTCCTTCATCAAACTTGGACAATTTTGTCCCACTCTCTATTGGCGTGTTCACGGGGTTGCAATCGAGCATATTAAACTTCTTTAATATCTCTTTTGTATAGCTTTCTTGAGAGATAAAAATTTCATCCTCCATCTGCTTCACTTCTAGGCCCAAGTAGTATGACATGAGCCCTAGATCCGTCATCTCGAACTCACGGGACATATCTTTCTTAAAAGCTTCAAACCAATTTGGGTTATTACCCATGAAAATAAGATCATCAACATAGAGACAAACATGCAAGATATCTCCATTAGTATAAATTTTAAGGTAAAGAGCATATTCATGGAGACAACGAGTAAATCAATTGTCTTGAAAATACTTGTCAATGCAACTATTCCATGCTCGCGGGGCTTGCTTCAATCTATATAAAGCTTTCTTTAACTGCAACACTTTATCTTCATAGTTTTTAACCACAAATTCTCGTGGTTGTTCAACATAAACTTCTTTTTCAAGATAGCCATTCAAGAAGGCTAGCTTGACGTCTAGTTGATGGATCTTCCACTTTATTTGCGCCGCCAAAGAGAACAACAAGCAAATTATCTCCATGCGGGAAACATGTGCATAGACTTTTTCATAGTCAATGTCTTGCCTTTGCTTGTATCCTTTAGCCACAAGTCGTGCTTTGTATCTCTCCACTTCTCCATCAGCACTCTTCTTTGTCTTGTATACCAATTGCACTCTAAATGCTCGTTGTACCTAGGGAAGAGTTGTTAACTACAAAAGTGTTGTCTTTTTCTATTGACTTGATCTCCTCCTTCATGGCTTGTCTCCACTTTTTGTCTATAACAGTTTCATCAAAGTTTATTGGATCACTATCAGCAAAGAGACAATATAAAAAATCAAAATTAGTAACTTCTTCTGTGTCTTTATAGAGCTCTTGAATAATCCTCGTCCTTTGCGGTTGTCCATTTGAACTTTCTTGAGAAGAATGAGATGCAACACTGGTTGGAGTAGGAGGTGGAGTTGTATCTTGCATAGGTTCCACGATCTATGGTTCTTCTTCATCACCAAAGTATGGAAGAAAATCATATGAAGTTTCTTCTTGAGCTTCCTAATTCCATGTCAAGTCTCTTCATCAAATTCAACATCGCGACTTACCACCACTTTGCCACTACTTGGGTTGTATAACTTGCAGCCTTTGAACTCGTATCATAGCTAACAAACACATGCTTGATACATCGATCGTCAAGCTTCGCTCTTCCATATTGTGGCACATGAACACAGGCTATGCTCCCAAAGATTTTCAAGTGCTTAACACTTGGTTTTCTTCCACTCGATGCTTCTTGAGGAGTTTGATCTCTAGCATTTCTTATTGGAGACCTGTTGTTCAAATAAACTGCACAAGAAACAACTTCGGCTCAAAATTCCTTGGGCATACTTTTAGCTTTCAACATACATCTAGCCATATTAAGAATTGTTTGATTCTTTCTCTCTGCAACTTCATTTTGTTGGGGTGCATAAGGTACCGTTAGAGAGCGACGAATTCCATGAGACTGACAGAAGTCATTAAATTCTTTTGAAGTGAATTCGCCTCCTCTATCGGACCTTAAAACTTTTATTTCATAGCCACTTTCTTTCTCCACAAGTACTTTAAAAATTTTAAAAGCAGCAAAAGGTTCAGATTTTGGTTCAAAAAATAAACCCAAGTCTTTCTATTAAAGTCATCAACAAAGAGAAGAAAGTATTTACTTTTACCAAAGGAGGGTGGATTGATTAGCCCACACACATCAGTGAGAACAAGTTGGAGTGGCATGGTTGCTCTTGACATGGACTCCTTTGGAAAACTCCTCCTTGCATGTTTTCCAAGAAGACAAGCTTCACACAATTGATTGGGATTGTTGATTGATGGTATCTCATGCACCATGTTCTTTTCTCCCATTGATTTGAGCGCTTCAAAATTCAAGTGCCCAAATCGCATGTGCCAACACCATGATTCATCTTGCACATTAGCCTTCAAACACTTTGCATCAGTTGTCTTAAGATTCAGAGAAAATAATCTATTTTTTGTCATATGCACTTTAGCAATTAGAATTTCACTTGAATCTCTAAGCGAAAGATGCATATTTTTTATGTGAATATCATGTCCCTTTTCAAGAAGTTGTCCCAAATTCAAGACACGATTTCACATTTTTAAGGCACGATTTCAAATGAGGTTTTAAGGGACGATTTCATATTTTAGTCAATTTTTTACATAAAAACCTTCCGAAAAAAAGTCACGGACCGCGTATGCAAATCGAAGAAGGCAAAATGAAGTTATTTGAGGTTTTGAAACACAGATTAAGGGTTAAAGCTATAAATGACTATCGGATCATCTCAAGAACAATAGATGATATTTTCAACAAAGTTATATAAAGGTTAGAAGAAATAAGAGTTATTGCTATTGGAAAAGTTTGTATGAGATGGGCGCTACTTCGTAGAATTATTAATACTGGACCTGGTCAACTGATATACACTGTAACATTAAATGTCATAGGAAAATTCTTCTTAATGCTATAGTCCAGTTGGCGTGGATTATTGTTACTATCGGATTTCCTTTGAACTTTAATAGAAGGAAGTAGGAAATTCCTTCAAAGACCACCCCCTGTATCAATATTCCATTGTATATACACAATGGACAGCTAAAAGTATAAGTGGATGAAGCTACAAAGAAAGAGTCTACCTAGGAAAATATCCCAATTGTATCGTGTTGTTACTCCAAACCACAAACACAAACGTCCCCCTCTCTCTTCTTTGCCAAAGAAAAAGGACCCCATTGATTGAATTTCTTTTTCTATTTTAATTTTCTACGGAGGTTGAAAAAGTCTTCGTCCAACAAAATATTTTTCAGTTTTTATTTTTTTTATTTATTATATGATTATATTGTCAGAGTTAGCTCGTTCCATCTCAACTATTTTATTGGAGACTTAGAAAAATAAAAATTAATCACCTAATGATTTTTGCTTCTACTATTCTTATTTTAACATAAAATTTCACGATTTTTATTTCACTTTATTGACCATTAGGCACACCTTTAGATCAAAATATTTCTTAGTCTTCAACAGACTGATTTAATAAAGAACCTAATTAAATAAAATGCACTACAAATTACGAGCCTATTTATTTGTATCGCAAAATATGTTAAAGACTAAAAGCAAAGTAATATCCGAGTAATTTCTTTGTCACTAACAACGCACGACAACTTGACTTTATTGTAGTTGAAGATAATAACCAATCAAAAGCACTACCGTCTATTTTGCACCTTATATTTTCTTTATGCATACCGTAAAAATATAAGTGGGCCTAGAAATAACACAGAATGTGTCTTTTTCCAATTTGAAGTTTATTAAGATTTAAATCTTTTCAATTTAAATTTCTAAGAAGTGCCGTATTGAAAAGTACTAAATAGTAATAAAAAGAGCTTTTTACCTTTGCAGAAGAAGAAGAAGATGCCATGGACTCAGTTAATTTCCTGAAAGAAGAAAAAGAAAATTGTATGGATATATTGTGGTTGTTGTAGGAAGACAGCTGATGATATTTCCGACTAAGTTATAAATAGGAGACAAGAAATAAATAATTATCACTCCAAAAATGAAAATTTTCTAAAAAAAGACGGGCTCTACTCCATACAATTATTGCTATTGCATAATGTAGTATTATATGTGGTAGGATTTTATTCAGTATTACTTACACGGGCGTAAACTCATGCTCTCCTCCCTAGATCATACATAATATTGGGTGTATCCCGCTAAGTGAGATTGTGAGTTCAAATCTTATATCAATCTTATTATTATTTTTTTCTTCTGTAATTAGGCATCACATGGTGCATATTAATTAAGTACATTTCTTTTCTTTCTTTCTTTTTTATTTATTCTTTCAAAATTTTCACAAATTAAAATTTTTATTTTTTGTTTGTCACCGAAAAATCTTATATGAATAAATAAAATATGCATATTAAACTAGTGGATAATGCAGCATATAATATGTTATTGGGTTCAACTGATCCCATAGTTTTAGCACGGAGTATGGATATAAATATAAAAAAATTACTATTAAAAAATAATAATTTTAAACTTATATTTCTAGAAGTGTAATGTGTGCGATAGTAAGAACCAAAATTGAACTCGTAAAATTTAGAATTATTATTGTATATGATTTTCTTTGCAGTGTAATAGAAGGAAGTAGGAAATTTCTTCAAAGACCACCTACCCTCCCTGCACCAAATTCCACTGTAATCTAAAAGTAGAAGCCGATATATGAAGCTACAACGAAAACGCAGGGTAATATCCTAATAATTTTCTTTGTCACAGACAACAGTTGCACTAATCAAAAGCAGTACTATGGTCCTATTTTTCTAAATGTAGGTCCATAAATGAGAAGGAATGTCACTTTTCGCAAATTGTTTTATAGAAGAATCAAATACTATAATTAATTAAAACAAAAAAATAGATGAGGAGTAAGCAATTTTGATATGTAACGTCCATGTCGATGACTTGAAAATCTATATCGTCACTTTTCCCTTTTGGGAAGAAGAAGCAATTTTGATATATGCATTATATCCTTTGTCGCTAGTTGCAGAATTATAGTGTTTTTTCCTCTAGCTACGACTGTTGAATACAATTGAATCAGCAATTAAATTCATTAAGAAAACATTAGTATTAAGTACTAGCTGTAATTTACTAAATCTACCTTATTTGTTTCCTTGACTATTAAATGCTAATCCCTCCGGTCCATTTTAATTAATTTTTTTGTTGTTTTTACATATATTAAGAAATCCATCTTTTAGCATTAAGTAACACTGAAATTGACCATATTAACCATAATTTGTTCATTGAAAATACAACAAATATTCTAGGCCAAGGACAAGTTTGAAAAAAATGAAGTTAATTCCTTCTTGATATAAAAAAAATTAAATATTATGGACCACAAAAAAAGTCAAAAATCAATTAAAGTGGACGGGCTGGAATAATTACTTTCAATCTCTTCAATAGCAAGAGTAAAATTGGAAAAAAAAATGTTATATTTCTTAAAGCGACATATTTGAAACATTTTTTGGGGGCAAAAACGACATTTAAAATTGGATAGAGGGAGTATCACTTTTTTTCCCATCACAGCCATAACAATATTCCTCAATTTCATGTTTTTTCTACATTCCTACCAGCAAATGGTGGAATTTATTCAAACTCTATATAAATGTTCAACATCCAAATTCCCAAATTCATGAATCTAAGCTAAATTCTTAACTAGTTCATAACCTTGCTCCACACTGAATGGAACTCAATTCATATATTTTGAGGTAAAAAATTGTTCAAACCCAAGCTATATTTGGCATACAACAAATTAATTTTACCTATATACAATTTGGATACTTGATGGATCTGAATTTAGTAATTTGGTCTAGGCGTTCTTCCATTTCATCAAATTAGACCGCAATGAGTTATAATTCAACCGTTTTCTCTCAAAAAACTAAGCGAAACTTGATATAGGTTGACCAATTTAGTAGATATAAAAGAACGATTCGACCAATGGCGTACACACGATTTTGCATAAGTGGTATAGGCACGTTAAGAAGTAGTGAACCAACAGATACTTGCAAGTCAAAACTCGAAGAGCAGGGCGGCAAGCCCCCAACAAAGAGAGTGGTCATATCGAGTAGGTCCCCCCTTATTCCCGACATGCTATGGTACCCCGGAGTGGCTAGGAGCGAGTCAAGTCTTATCGAATCTACTCAACGAAGAGCAGTATAGACGTAAATGATATTATCACGGCCCCTCTTTTCGTATCAATAGGGATGCTTAACGTCACTTTGTCAATTGTCATTACCCGCCTTCTATCCTAGTGAACAATGTTCCACTGATTCGGCAGGGACATGATTAGAACCTGCAATCTTCGAGTGATGAGCCTAATGAATTGAATAATTTCTCTACCCCATATTCTCTTTCTTTGCTGTAAATTGGATGTAGTTTCGAACCACACAAGGATTTTCAGTCCAGCTAAGCTACGTGAACCACTTTGAAATAATCTGTCCTTCTTTATGTAAATTTTGACTGCAGGCTGAGTTTTCTTTTGCACACATACTTATAGCCTATTCGGCCAAACTGCAAAAATTAGCTTATTTTGAGAAGTGCTTTTTTTCAAAAGTGCTTTTCTCAAAAGTACTTTTGGTGAAAAGTAGTTTGTGTTTGGCTAATTAGTTTGAAAAGCACTTCTGAGCAGCAATTAGTGTTTGGCCAAGCTTTAAAAAACTGCTTCTAAGTGTATTTTTCTCAAAAGTGCTTCTCAAAAAAGTGCTTTGGGAGAGAAGCTACTTTTTTCTGCTTCTCCAAAACTGCTTCTGCTTCTCCTCAAAAGTACTTTTTTTCCTTCCAAAAGCTTGGCCAAACACCTAAATTTTTGGCCAAAAGTGCTTTTGGCAAAAAAAAGCACTTTTGGCCGAAAAGAAGCTTGGCTAAATAGGCTATTAGAGGTTTAAATTAGAAAATATTGACCAAACTTTGACTTTTGTGAAAACAANAGGCTATTATTCAAAGTGTTTCATCTGCACTTGTCAGTCAAAAATCGAAACAGCCCTATTTTTCTTGCAGCTACTATGCGTCAAAGAGCCGCCCTGCCGAACCCCACTTAAACTAACTGATGAAATACAAACACCTGGAACTGTTTTCCCTGTGCATATTTAGATAACATTGCAAATGGAAAGACAGCTCGGATCAGGTCTCTGTACGTTTATCGGTTTAGCAGTGAGGCAAGGATACCCGAAATCTGTTTCTATCTCTGAGCCTGAACTTGCATTTTCAACAAAGCTGTTGAACTTGGCATAGGTCATCATTGAATGTCACACAGCTGAAGCTTACTCATGTTCTGTTTTTAATTTCCATGGCTTATGATAGATCCTCGAGGCTGAAAAAAGATATACTTGCTTCCTCCAGTAGATTTTTAGGCATTTTCTCAATTGCAGAGAAACAGATCGCCTTTCATCACTGGTGTATGAACACTGCAATTTTGATGGACTGGTTTAAGAATAGGTATCTGTGAGACACTTTTCACATGTCCCGAGGGAAGCGCACTGACATGTTGAGACTGCAATTCAAAAATTCCTCAAAGAATGAAAGGCAATACACTGCAAAACGAAAGGAAAGGTAATAAGTTAATAGACAAAAAAGACGCTGAAACGTTCTTTAAAGAATCCACACAAAAAAAGTTTAATCAGAGGGAGGGCGACAAAGATGTGAAAGCGCAAAATTGCAAGTTTAGAAACTTGGGCTATGCACACATATCTTACAATTGATACTTGAGTTGAACAATCCCAAAAATAGCTTAAATAATATGCCTAAACAATGAAACCAACTTCGTACATGAAAAACTAGACAGAATGAATAGTACAAGCAAAACAAACCAAAATATGTTGTATTTCGGTAATGTTGTTTTTGCCGGACCGCCATGCGGCTTGGTTGAATTCACAATGTTCTGGAAATGGGACAGTCTAATAATGGTTTGGACTGAGATTGTTAAGTCAAAAATTCAAAGCACTTCCTGCATAGTATTTGACTTTGGTTAGGTTCCATTAAGTGTCAAGATAATGTAAGTGCATCATCAATCAAAAATCAAGGAGATTCTTCGAATGCATATAGGAGATTCACTGTAAAGGAGCTAACCAATTTTTTGCTCACTGATGTAATTTTGGCTCTATTGGTTGGATTATTAATGAAACCTCTAATTTACCTGATCAAGGAAACGATCAAGCCAGAAAAGAAGTCTATGATCAACATGTAATTTTTTTTTCCAGCTAAGAAGATAACTTCTTTATTTCAAGTTTCACAACCCATTAGCATCAACAGAACATTAAAAAGACAAAACCAAAACTTCTAAACAATAATATTGCCAAATAAAAGTCAAATCGACTAATATCATACCCCCCATCCCAACCCCACAAACCCAAAAAAACTCACAAGAAAAGGGGTTTTAGACAGGGCTAAGAAGCTGAGAAAGAGAAGGTTTGGGTTCAGAATTCATGCCAATGATGATGACAAGTGGGATAAAACCATAATGAGGTATGACTTTGGCCTTTTTTGCAGTCCATGTGCCCCACTCCTTCACGAATTTTCCCACCACCGCCACTGCTCCGTCGTCCTCATCAGCAGCAGCAGCCTTTTTGGTGGTCTTCCCTTTAGCCATTAACATGTATCAAATAAGTAAATAATTATCATGAATAGAAATAGAAATATTGGTGGAAGTGATGGACGGTGACGCTCAAGATAGTGGTCCATGGTAATTCAACCACCTCTGTTATCGAGAGTTGTTTAATTGCAAAATACCTTCCTTGTTTTTACTTTGCCATGCTAAATGTAATTTCCCTCTATGAAGATAATCTCAAAAAAAAAAAAATGAAGCATCCTTGTTCAAAAATACTTGTATGCACACAACGGTTCATATAAACTATTGACTTTTTCTCTTTTGATATTATTAGACAAAGAATGGTATAGCAATAAGAAGAAATAGAGGAAATTACTCTTTTCTAGCAGTTTTGTGAGGTAATGAATATATACCTGGATACCACGGGACATCACAAGCCATCAAAATATAACATCATCTCAATGTATACCAAGATTGCATTAGTTGGAATCCATCTTACAGTATCATTCACAATCCAGGAGAAACTTCCGCCGATCCATTCAATACTATTCGGACAACATCTTGCATCACTCCAATGAACATTATTCACAGGGTAATTAACTTATGGAATGAAATCCACCTACTAAAAGGCAGTTACAGATGGTAGTCTTGGGCTCTCCGATTAAATGCATCACTTCCTGGCCTGACGTTTCGAGCTCCTACTTAAGCTACCAATTAGTGAAGTATAAGTAGCATAATCATGAACAAGCCCCATTTCACCACGTAGCTTACCAAAATCATCAGGATTTCCATACTTGCAATGCCCATCCAATAGTATGTTATAGGTAATGTCATCTGGATTCAAACCAAGATTAAGCATGGCTTGTAATAACATTTCAGCATTTCGCATCTGTCCTTGTCTGCATAGACCATTTAAAAGCGCATTGTAAGTTATAACATTAGGCGCATGTCCATTACTTTGCATCTGCTTTAGCAACTTAAAACCCATCTTAACATCTCCCTTCTTGGAAAAACCATCGATTACCATAGTATAAATAGGGTCATCAGGCTTTAAACCAGCATTCAACATTTCAGTTAAAATCCTCTCAGCATCAACCTTTCGTCCTTGCCGACACAAACCTGTGATAAGAGCTGTATATGCTACATCATCTAGTTCAATGTCATTATCAAACATCATTTTCTTGATCTCAAATGCTCCATCTAAATCTCCCTCTGCACAACATCCACCAATAACCGTCGTGTATGTGATCTTATCAGGCTTCAAACCCTTTTCAATCATTACATGAATGAGCTTCCTCGCTTCCCCTAAATCCCCACTCTTACAAAGTCCATTGACAAGTGTGTTATATGTAATCAAATCCGGTTCCACCCCTTGCGTCAGCATCAGTTGATAAGCGTCCATGGCCAAAACAATGCTACCATCCTTGCAATGTCCACTAATCAAAGTCGTGAATATAACAACATTTGGAATCAAACCTTTTATACACATCTCATTAAACAACTCACTGGCGTCGCTCATCCAAAAGTTCTTGCAAAGCCCATTGATCAGAGCACTATACGTATAAACATCGGGCAAAATTCCTCTTTCCTCCATTTCTCTTTTTAACCTATACCCTGCATCCATATCACCTAATCTACAATACCCATTTATCAAAATATTGAAACTAACAACACTAGNGTCCATTGACAAGTGTGTTATATGTAATCAAATCCGGTTCCACCTCTTGTGTCTGCATCTGCTGATAAGCATCCATGGCCAAAACGATGCTACCATCCTTGCAATGGCCATTAATCAAAGTCGTGAATATAACGACATTCGGAACCAAACCTTTTACACACATCTCATTAAACATCTCATTCACGTCCCTCATCCAAAAGGTCTTGCAAAGCCCGTTGATCAGAGCACTATAAGTATAAACATCGGGCGAAATTCCTCTTTCCTCCATTTCTCTTTTTAACCTATACCCTGCATCCACATCACCCAATCTACAATACCCATTTATCAAAGTATTGAAACTAACAACACTAGGTCTCAAATTCCTCTTCCACATCTCCGTAAACACCGACCGTGCTTCCACCATTTTACCTTCCTTACACAACTTACTCATCAAAACATTAAAAAAATACAAACTTGGAGGATACCCATATTCCAAAATCTCCTTATAAAAATCAAAAGCTACCATTGGTGAATTAAGCTTCATTAAATATTCAAGAACCTTAGTACAACCTTGAAATGGGAACCTAATTTTATGTTTTTGGATAAGCCTAAAGCACTGAATAGCATCAGAAACAAACCCCAAATCCAAATAAGCAGCAATAAGTCCATTTAAAACATTCACAAAAGATGTAAAGTTGGTACCTTTAGCTTTCAAGATTGCTTGAAAAACAGTAAAGGCAGAGTCTTTACCTCTTCTTGAAACAATAGTGTGGATAAAAGAGTAAGCTTGTGAATTCATTTGGTGGGCGTAAAGAAAAAAGGCCATAGTGCAATAAGTGTGAAGTGTGTGGCAATATTTTGAATTGTGAGAAGTAGAAGAAAGCCATGTGAAGAAAAAGAGGAGAGAAGAAGGGGTTAAAGAATGAGGATTAAGGTTAATGAGGTTGATTATGTGTTGGGGTTTAAGAGATGGGAGGAGGGTTTTAAGGGAAGTTTTAAGGGGTTTAATGTGAGAGTTTTTTATGGCTTCTGAAAGGGTATTGAGTATTGGGTCTGATGAATCTTGATGTTGNACTGTGAACATTTCTGATAAAAATGACAGAAATGGTGTTTAAAATAGTTTGCCACAACGTGAACACTTTTGATCTTCAAGTTAACTTATTAATTTGACCAGAGCTGTGGAAAAAAATTTAGTGGAATCAACATTTAAGCTATGAAAAAAGTAAAAAATTATTTTTCAAAAAATATCCGTACCAAACACACCCATAGATTTTTATTTTTTTCCTATAGTTTTGGTTTATTTCTCAAGTTTGTTACCAAATTTTAGGTGCAATTTGTTATTTTTGTCTAATTCAGTTTTTGACGTAGTTTTTAGGATTTGATGGTACTTGACTGAAGTATTTAGTTAAATCTTTTTTCCTCACATTTTTTTATGAAATTTAACCGCTAGCTTTTACTAAACATTTAGGCGTATAGGAGATGGACGTACAACAAAAATATTCCATACTCCATGGCTACCATCCGAGCAATTACAAGTTATTCAAAGTGTGCGCAATAATGGGATGGAGGAGATGGTCGTGTCAGAATTAATATGTGAGGAGACTCGAACATAGAGCAAAGTGAAGCTGGAGACAATGTTTAATGCACAGGAGATTGAACTAATACAAAAAATACCACTAAGGCCGACCTCACAGCCGGATAAATGGATGTGGTTGTTCGATCCAAAGGGCACAGTCCGTGGAGGTTACATGAGACTTTATGATCAAGTCGGACAAGAAATTGAGGCAAGTCGCCGGCGACTTTGGCAATCATTGTGGCAGCTGCAAACCACACCAAAGATAAAAAAAACTTTATGTGGAGAACGATGAACAACGTGCTCCCAACATGTGATAACTTGACCAGATGACATATGATGAATAATGCAACTTGTCCATTGTGCTGGCAGCACCCCGAAACCATCGAGCACTGGCTCCTTAATTGCACCATGGCTAAGGCATGCTGGCTGCAATCTCACGTGGGATGGACAGAAACAATTTTGAATATGGAGTAGTGGTTTAACAAGCTTAATCATACATTGAACAAGAAGGGGATTGAAGAAGCAATCATGATATGTTGGGAGATTGGAACTATTGAAATGGTGTAATCTGGAACCAAAGAACGAGTATAGTGGATCGCATACTAAATAAAGCTATTAGCTTCATCAATAAATGGCGCCAATTACGCACGCCATATGGTTCACATGGGCAGGATAACGAGGAGAATCGAAAGTGAAAACCCCCGGATAGTTTAGCCCTCAAGTGCAATATTGACGCATCCTTCAACCTTGCAACTGGTGAAGCTGGAGCAGGGATGGTTGTTCGGGATAGGCACGGTGAGTTTTTGAGAGGTAGATCGACATATATAGGGGCAACATTCAGTCCGATGATGGCAGAGGCATTGGCGGTAAAGGAAGCTCTTAGTTAGCTAAAGATTCACTACGAAGACACCAAGATAGAGCTCGAGATGGATAGTCTATTTGTGAAGAATGCATTGGAGAAGGCCGAAGATATTTACTTGTATTTATCTGACGTGATTTTTGATTGTGAAAACATCTTAAAAGGTTTTCAGTTTCTGTCTTTGTCTGTTGTTCGAAGGTCTGCGGATCAGGTTGCTCATGCATTAGCACGAGTGGTTGATTCTATGTCAGGCTCAGTGGAGTGGAATGCTAGCCATCCATCCTTTATTGTAGATGCTTTAAATTTTGATTTGAATAATTAAGATGATGGTTGTTTAAAAAAAACATTTAAAGAAAATCAAAAGTGTTCACCTTTGACAAATTTAAAGTAATATATTTTAAACAGGCCCAAACATAAGAGGCCTTTTTTTATCGGAAAAATGACATTGTGTAGTTGTTCCCAAAATAATAGCCAAAATATATATACTTTTTGTATATATATAAACTTTTGTATGTTATATATAATAAATGGACAAATTTTATATATTTTTGCAGCTACCGTATATAAATAGTTTTGGTCGCGGGCTAAAAGTTTGATGACCTTATATAAAAGTAACCCGATTTCTTGTAGAAATAAATATATGAAAAATCATTTGTCATTTTTTTCCATGTAACAGATTAGATGTCCTTTTGTTTCCTGCATAGTCCCTTGTTTATGAACACTTTGACTCCCGTCTCACTGCTTTAAAGCAATCAAACCCCACACAATAAAGCATTTATCATGGTTAGCTGCAGAAGATATCATTCAAATTTCAAGTAATAACCAAAATAGCAACTTGTCACATGTTACATATATATATATATATATATATATATATGTATGTATGTATATATATGTATATGTATGTATGTATATATATGTATATGTATGTATGTATATATATGTATATGTATGTATGTATATATATACTAGTCTTAGAGTACGCGCGCTGCGCGTGTAGTTTATATTAATAAATATAAATTTTATAAAAATTACATAGATATTTTTACAAAAGTGTCTGAATTATTAAATGACAATTAAACAAAAAACCAAATTCTTGAAAAAATGATGAACATTAACCACATTTATCTAACTCAATAAAAGAACATATCTACTCTACAAAATACCTTATTATTTGGACTCTCGTTAAGGATAGAATTATCATAATAAAAAGATAGATTCAATCATTATCATGATAAAGAAATTATACATACTAATAAACATCGTTACTTCCGTAGGTCAACAATGATGGGTATATCATTAGTCGCATATCCCTAATTTGATAATTATTTGTAATTACATGCAATATCTATCCGCTAGATAGATTTATCGACACTATAAAAAATTACGTAACTTATGACAACACTTTTGGAGAGTGCTTTATTAGCAAATTTTTTTTTAAAAAAAAAAGAATAGTTTGAAATAGCTAATATTTTTAACATTACTCACCTTAAATCTTTAAAAGTTTAGCTAATTTGAAAATAATTGTGAGTTTCTGAGTTTTGCTTTAAGTTTTCATCTCTTGGTATATTGAAGTGGAAGACTTTTAATGTCACCTTAATTATTGTTATTCCATGTGAAATAACAATTCCTTATCTATTCCTGTGAAAATGTACTTAATCAACTTATATAAGTAATATTATTGGGATTACATTCCTAAATATTAAGAGTTCTTATATAGTTCAAATAAGGAAACATTTAATAATCAAAATTTTAGTTAACTTTAGCGTACTAAATATTAAAAATATTAATTTTATCCAATGTAAAATTTATTTTATATGATAAAAAGGTCAACTAATTTTGCATTTAAATTTTGTATTTTTATAATAGTCTGGATTGATTAAAGAAAACAAAATATATTTAGTAGTTTTTAATTTTATTTACCACGTAATTACAATAAAATTAATATACTTTGCTGCAAATACTAAGTGAAGTAAAAAAACTTCTTCTAAAAAAGTACTCATTGATGTTAAAAACTATTTTGTTCATCATGATAAGGTACCGTCATTTTCCAGTTGCCATATAGAAATTACTTCAAAAGAACGGCTACAAAATTTGTACTAATGATCCAAATAATTGACTTCTTAATTATTTATTTAAGGTAAAATTTTAATTGCTTTTAAAGTCCTACATTTTAGGTACCTAGTTTAAATAAGTAAAGATTTAATAACCAAAATTCAATGAAATTTTAGGTCCTAAATATTAGGACAATCAAATGACTATTTTGTCTAATATGAATTATATTTTAAAGGGGCAAAAAAGGCGAATGACATTTCGCTAAAGGCCTTCGTGCTTTTAATATAGTATAGATAGATATAGATATGTGTGCCTAAGTGGTCCTGGCTTCTTTTTTTTTTAAATCTTTTTTATCTAAGAAAATTTCTTGTAAATTATATTATATAGTTGTGACTTAAAAAATTTTAATTTAAATTTAAAAGAGAAAATATTGTAAAAAGATATTCAAAAGGATGCGTTATAATTTTTATTATTATGACATTAACAAAACATGACCCAATCTTTCTTAGTCTTCCCCCTCCCCTCCCCAATGGAATGAGCACGACCAAGGTGCTAATACCACCATTGAGAAGAAAAAGAAACTAATCAAGATGTGCCAAAATACAAGTTACATATTAATTTTATATGGTATCTCTTACAAATCTTATAAATCCATCAAGGTTCGGAGGAATTTTCGTTAGTGGTGGAGGAAAAGAAGCTTGTTCATCACTACTTCCGGGCGAAGCTGCATCCTCCGCAAGTTCATCTAGCATTTCTTTGTAAGCTTCGTCTACCTCTGGTTATGATTCAGCAAGTCCAAAATTTCTTCGTTCTGAACGGATCCAATCCCTGAAAAGTACTGATTTTTCCAAGCTCTCCGACGCTATATAATCACCCAGTTGAAGTTTTGCTTGACTAAAAGCACTCTTCGATGCCACTGTTGAAGCTTGAATGGTTAAAATGTCTCGGGCCATCCTTGAAAGGATCGGAAAGTATTTTTCTTTGTCCTTCCACCATTCCAAAAGATTAAATGAGCCGTCGGGATTCACTTCCTCAAGTCCCCGTGACAAATAAACTTCAAGCTCATTTAGTTGTGAACAATCACTAGTGCTACAACCTTGAGAACCCCTGAACCCGGTCCAAGCAGTAAGTGCTCTTACTCCTGCGGTTCTTTTAGATGATTGAAAACTAGAAGAAGAAGGAGTTGGAACATTTGGTCTAGCATTATCTATTGCAATTTGATAAGCATTATAAATAGTTTGAGCATTTCTTTTAATTGAGACTTGTGCGTCCGAAAGTGTAGACAACTCCTCATCTTCAAGTGCTAAACCATTATAAATAGATTGATACTAATATTGAGGACCTCCTAATTCCATAGTAGGATTTAACAAGGCAATAACACCATAAATAGGGGGAATAGGAAAAAAATAATTTTTAAATTTCTTTCTCATAGAATCAATAGCTTCTTCATAAATTTCTC